CTGGCAAGAAAAGGGAACAAAAGCACCCTGACCTAAGTAATTGATGAAGCTCCTGATGCATAGGCTGACCAGTCCTAGCTGAGAGCTGAAATCAAAGGCGAAGGTTTAGCAGAAATGTAAAGAGAGTCTTGATTGAAGGAAAAAAGAAAAAAGAAAAAAAAAAAAAAAAAAAAAAAGTATGATTATGTATGCATCCATGCATGCATTAACTGTGACACCACTGGCTGCTAAACAGTTGACATTTCTCCACCGATTATCTACTCTGAGGGTTAAAAGACATTGTAAAGCCTTACATATACCCAGTGAAGTGCCTGGTCTCAGGTGATACACAGATGAAACAAAATCCTCCTACACCAGTTATACCTTTTTATCTGCAGCCCTCTTCTCTATATCTGTACAGAGTGCAAAATGTACAATATACAGCTTGTCTGGGCTTCCAAAAAGCAGGGGCGGAGAGCTTAAGTTACACTCTACAGAGCTCAGTGAGGGCTTACTGGAGGGAAGGGAGACCCCACTCCCCCTTCACACAGTACACAGGAACAGAACATAGGCTGTCAGTCACTGGCTGTGTGCTGGAAGTCTCTTCCCAGCCACCTTTTATTCTGTTTGGTGTCAGGAAGACTGTCAGAAGCAACTAATGCCGATAGCAGAAATTAGGCAGCAGAGAGAAATGACTGAGACAAGTACACACTGTAGAGGAATATGCTTTGTTCATATTTCATGTCTGAGGTTTACAAACACTTTAAGGTAAACAAAGTGGAGTAATGGAGATGAGAATAGAGGTTGGTTCTGTAGCTCAGCAGTAGAGAACTCAAGTGGCTGACAACAGGACTTGGTATTTCAGTGCAACAGAGGCAGCACTGACAATTCACAAAAGGAATTTAGGAGCTCATTGGATTTCTGGCAGAATCATCATGTATTTTTTTTAAAAAGGGATAAAGCATGAGGAAATGTGCCTGTATCACAGACATGTTTTTAAATCAATAAAAAAAATAAATAAAAAAAAGGCAACAAAAACACTATCTGAACAATAATGTTATGATAGAATTAAAAACAAAACAAACAAACATACACTTAAAGCATGTTGACTTGTAAACCCTAAGATCACTTTCAACAGATAATGGAAGAAACATTTAGAAAATTAAAGAGTGATCAAATGCGAAGGAAGGATTGTGAACATACTTTGACTGCTGGCTGTTCTTCAGTGCATTGATACATTTGCCAAGAATCAGTAATGAAGTGTTTATATTCCCGCTCTCTTTTAGCCTTTCACCTTCGTTATGAGTTTTTGTACATCGTTCAGAACCTGCCAGATCGCACAATGCCAATCTATAAATGCATTACAGAAAAAAATATTTTGTGAAAGTTATAAGACTGAAAAAAATGCCAAGAAACAAACCTTAATGTCCAAATAAACGTTTGCAACTTTAATTACGATCTGTACAGTTTTACTATCGCATGTCACTTAGGGTATCCAGGTGGATTTTACATTGGTTTTTCAGGATAGATTGGGCTTTCATTTGGTGGAAAATATTAATGATATATCCTGACTTTGTTATATTATAAAAATGAAAACTGGCCCAAAATAGTAATAAGAGTTTTTTTTAAAAATGTAGCTGTATATTATTATTTGCCATTACCGCAACCCACCACTTAAAAAAAAAAAAAAAAAAAAAAAACACCTGCAAAATAGATTATCCTACTCCTGACAATCGCAGCAATAAACGCAATACTTGTTCTGTGCACCCATAGTAGGGTAAACAAACAATAGTGCACAATTTTGTTTCCAGCCTACTTAAGCACATCGATACTCACACTGACATCAGAGCAAGCAAGTTTGACTTGTTTTTTTTTGTGTTTTTTTTTAACACTTTAGAATCACTTTAAATCTAAAACCTTTTATTTTTTTTCCTAAAAAACACACTACCATACCATCACATTGCCACTGACACTAAACTAAAAGCTTTGGCTATACTTTTAGTTTAAAACATGTTCATGTGTGGATGAGAACAGAGGCTAAGAGCTGTCATTAGAGCTGGAGATTGCTATCAAAGAACTGCAGCTGAAACACTGTTTCTGTCAATCAGCCAGTAGCACAAGCTGAAATGGTTTGCAATACATTGGATACAATTTTATGCTGCCATTTTTGTGTAAAAGTGTATCCCACTGTGAGGACAAGTGGCATTCAGCATGGACTAACAGAATCATAACCTGTGATTTTTTTTTTTTTTTTAGTCTATAGGTGAAAGCAAGCACCAGCTGATCTATTATTTGTATTCTGTCTGTCTTGAGATGATTGGAAGATTTATCCAGATCATCAAGGCTGCTGTTATTCAATAGTGCTGTGAATTTTACTCTTTTTTACTGTTTCTATACTTACTCACTGACTTTGACCACTCGTGGAACTTCTGCATCTTCAATTTTTAACAGGCGAACAGTAAATATACTGTGACTGCAAAAAGACAGGAAAAACTGAGAATTAAGGCATGTCCTTTTACTTCTGAAACCATATGTGAAGATAGCAAGGAAAGGAAAAAAAAAAAAAAACAAAAAAAACAAAAAAAAAAAAACACACACACAAAAAACACACAGCGACTTAGTGATGTCAGATCAGTAAAAGGAAGTTGCAATTTGTATTTATATCTGTAAAATCCCTCGTTTCAAACCTACTTCAAACCTAGTACAATACTAAACAGTGAATGGGTTTTCACTGCTATATATAGTGTGTATAATAGGGTGTAGCAGGAAATGACCAAATAATGAAGATACATAAGGTGCCACTAGAGATTCTGACAAATCTAGTCTTGAGTAACTAGGCAGATTTATAATGTTTGTTCTTGTGAAAAGCAGAAAAAGGAGCACAAATGACCTTTTGTGCATATGCTAGGTTTAACATTTTTGAGGGGGAATGGGGGTGGGGGGGATGGGGGGCTGGAGTATCTGTTTAAAAAGGTTAGATTTGAGAAAAAAACAAAAAAAAAAAAAAAAAAAAAAAAAAACACAAAAAAACCACACAAAAGCAAAAAACACACATATTGATAAACCGCACTCAACAAGCAGAACGCTATTACCTCCGTTACGTTTATGTAGGGACTGGCATTTTTCTACTCAATTTCTGGCTATGCATACCCTTTGCTGGTTAATGAATAATCCTGTAATACTCATACATTGTGGACACCATATCTAAATGGGATCTTGAAAGCCAAAAACATTCAAATATGATAACCCAAATTACTGTCTACCCGAATCAGAATGCATCCGGTAGGCCTCATGCACACAGGGCATTTTTGCAGTCAGTTTTACGGGCGTCAGGCGGGTTTTTTTTTTTTTTTTTTTTTACTACAGCTTCCAAATGCCCCTCCATGTTATCCTAAAGGTCCTTGCACATGGGCTTTTAAAAGCTTTTAGGAGCTATAAAGAAAGAAAAACAAAAAAAAAAAAAAAAAAAAAAAAAAAAAAAAAACCACCACACCAAAACCCACTGCCAATGCGTTTAGAAGCAGCATTTTGGCAGAAGAAAAAAAAAAAAAAAAAAAAAAAAAAAAGTGTTTAATGTGTCTAAAACGCACCTACACGTGTGTTAATGCTAGCCGTGTTTAGCGCTTGAGTGTTAATTTAGTCTGGCCATTTAAATAAATTATTAATCTGGCCAATTAAATAAAATTAACAGCCAAACGTTTAATGCCAAGCATTAGACACTTCCACAAGCGTCAGGCGTTTTCTGCCAAAACACTCCTGCCAAGAGGAGGAGCATTTTTAAAACGTCCAGTGTGAATGAAGCCTAAATATTTAGAAGCTACCTACCTTCTGCTGGAGGAACTATTTAGCTTGGTAAAAGCAATACTCTGGAATTTTTTCCCCAAGGCAAGAATTCTGCATGCCTCTTTCGCATCAGAAACCTGTATCCACTGGAGATCTGCAGAAAAGATTACAAATAAATATTCCAACTGAACATAGTACCATAATGTAAAATAAATTGAATAACTCAAGCGCTAACTATGGTGAAATAGAAAAAAAAAAAAAAAAAAAAAAACAATTTAAATACTGTAGCCGCTAGTGCACACAACCCATGTCTCAGTGCAGCAAATTATAAAATCATAATGTGAAGTGAAAAAATGCTGCACTACATGAATCAATGGCACAATCCATTATATGACCAAAAAACAAAGTGAAAAGATAAAAACAAGGGTGACGTGGTCGAATAAAAGAAGGGAGTTTTAGTAGTTTTGTAACAGGCAGGTCATATCAGATCAAAGATTTTATATCGTGCAACACAGTGGGAGTTGTATATGGTTTATCCTGCCCTTGTAGGCTTCAATACGTTGGACGCACCAAAAGAATGCTTAAAGATAGAATCCAAGAACATGTCTGCAATATTACCAAAGGATTTCCTAAACATTATGTTTCCAGGCATTTTCTGGCTGTGCACAACAAGGATTGCTCAGGTTTGACCTTTTGGGGCATTGAAGTATATAAAAAGAATTGGAGGGGTAGTAATAAGATAAGAGTTTAGTAAAAGGGAGTCCTATTGGATCCATGAGCTTCTGTTTCCCAAGGGGATAAATAAAGAATTTGATCTTAACTGCTTCATTAGTGTAGGTTTTAAGTAGGTTTATATCTATTTTATACATATATATTTTGAATTTGTAATTATATTATATTAGAATTTTTATTTTTTGATTTTATTCACAATATGTTTATGTTCTTTTTCGTTTTATTATGTTTATATTATTGTTAGTAAGTGGCTTTGCAGCTTGCTTGATAAAGCATCCCGTATGAAATATACTGAAGGCTGTGGATGGTGAATCTCCACAGCTCATGCAATGCAGATCCCATGTCATTGATCAATGAACGGCGTTTTTTTTTGGCATTTTCTTTTTTCCTTGTTTGGTCTTCATTAACCACCTCCCGCCCTCCATATAGTCCAATGACGGGCGCAAGGTGGTTCTCTCGTTCTGACAGGACGTCATATGACGTCCTTCTATTCTCACCGCGCATGTGCGGCTCAGGCAGCGCGGCGATCGGCGGTGCGCTGTGTCCTTCGATCCACACCGATCCACGGAAAGAGCCGAAGATGTCGGCTCGGTCATGTGATCAGCTGTGTCCAATCACTGCTGATCACATGTAAACAGGGAAATGCTGGTTATCGGCATTTCTCTCTTCTCTAGCTGTCACGCTGACAGCTCGAGAGGAGAGCCGGTAATTGGCATTCCGCGGAGGGGACATGTACACGGATCATCAGAGCACTGATGATCAGTGTGCCCTGATGATTAGTGTGGCCCCAGAAGTGCCAGCTGTGCAGTGTGCTGAACAGTGCCACCTGCCAGTGCCCATCAGTGCCTACCAGTGCACATCAATGCCACATATCAGTGCCCATCTGAGCTGCATTTTAGTGTCACCCATGAGTGCCAAACAGTGCCAGCTATCAGTGCTGCCAGTCAGTGCCCGCATACCAGTGCCCATCAGTGATGCCTGTCAATGCCCATCAGTGTCACCTACCAGTGCCTCCTCATCACTGCTTATCAGTGCCACCTATCAGTGTCCATCAGCGCAGCCTATCAGCGTCCATCAGTGCAGCCTCATTAGCGCACATCAGTGAAGAAGAAAAATCACTTATTTACAAAATTTTATAACAAAAACTAAGAAAAATTCTCAGCGGTTTTTGGTTTAAGAAAAAATAAAAAAACGCAGAGGTGATTAAATACCACCAAAATAAAGCTGTCACACAAAAATTATAAAAATTTCATATGGGTACAGTGTTGCATGACCGCGCAACTGTCAAAGTGCGACAGCGCTGAGAGCTGGAAATTGACCTGGGCAGGAAGGGGGTATAAGTGCCCTGTAAGCAAGTGGTTAAAATGGCGGTGATCGCTTTTCCACCATGTGCTAGGATGGTCCACAACAAATGGTGCTGGTTTACTATATAAATTGATTGAGAAAAAAAAAAAAAAAAAGAAAAAATATATTCCTGCGCCAATACAAATTGAATGAATCACCCTTCTAAAATGCTGCTGTACAAAAATTGAGTGCACAAACAGTGAGATATATAAACAGCGCAAAATAGTTATTAATAAATCACAAAATATCAAAATCCCATATCGCTTAGTGCATATTTGTAACAAAGGAATCTTCAAATAAAAAACTCCATAAAGTCCCTTGTGGTGAAAAATAAAGACCTCCAAATGAAATTTCTAGCCTTCCACCTTTCACCCATGCACACCAACATCAAATGCACTCACCAGATTTTGGTGAATGTAAAGCCTTTAGGAATTTTATAGGGAATCCCAAGCCCTCTTTTCATCCGTTCAATGTTAGCCTCCCCAAGATAAGATCCTCTCTCAGGTCCTCACCTTGGCCTCCTCGCTTGCTCCACCGTATTATCAAAGAAGAAAACTTACATAGTGTAATATTGCCAAGATCAATCCTATACCATAATGAACAGACTCCAGGCCACTCACATTTCAATAGCTCATAAAAGGCACATTTATTAGGAGGCCCAAGACAGCCTGATGATCACAGCCAGCACATACTCCAGGGTTCCAACATCAATGCAGTCAGATGAGGCAGAGACACAGCAAAGAAGAGCCTAAATCCCGCAAAATGGCCGCTGGAACGCACCGCTCGGCGTGCGCTCCACTCACCGGAAGTGACGTCAGACGTACGGCAAATGGACCGGAAATGCGTCCTCATTGAGCGGATGAAAAGAGGGCTTGGAATTCCCTATAAAATTCCTAAAGGCTTTACATTCACCAAAATCTGGTGAGTGCATTTGATGTTGGTGTGCATGGGTGAAAGGTGGAAGGCTAGAAATTTCATTTGGAGGTCTTTATTTTTCACCACAAGGGACTTTATGGAGTTTTTTATTTGAAGATTCCTTTGTTACAAATATGCACTAAGTGATATGGGATTTTGATACTTTGTGATTTATTAATATCTATTTTGCGCTGTTTATTTATATATCTCACTGTTTATATAAATTGATTGATTGTCCAACTGTATCCCCTTGATAAAGTCACGTGACTAGTGACAAAACGAGTCGGGTGGAGTGTGCGGATGACATCACAACGTTGCCATTCATCAGGATAGCGGTTGTAGTACTCTACAAACGGCTCTTGGAACGACATTACAGCAGTCAATAGCATTCATTGAGTGGGCCCGTGCTTTGCCTTGCATTACGGATGGTGTCTGTTTTGAGTATGTACAGGACTGCGGCGATTATACTGCCATCTTGTGTTTAATCAGTACATCACTGAAAAGTTCACATACCTGGTGCAAAATACACCTCCGGAACGTGAGTGTATTTCATATGTCCAATTGATGAATAAAAGTTTATAAGTATAAAGCACTATGTCGAGTTCTTTTTAATGAGGAATACGGCTGATACAAAGACGCTCATCAGGAGGGAGCTTACTTTGGAGTCTTCATTCAGCAAGCTGATCATCTGAGTCCATATGGGACCAAAATAGCAGTTAGACCGTAACATTGTATAATGTGAGGTCACACTGCGTGAGGTGAGCAGATATATGGCGGGAGGGTGTCTTTGCATGGGAATTGATAACAGATGCACATATTTTTTGTTATCCAAAAAGGAGGGTTCACTGAATGAACACTATATTGATTGAACTTGGATGATTCAATGACTTAAAATACTTAAAAATATAAAATATACTTTTTTCCTACTATTTTTTCTTCTAATATATAGATTTTTTATCTTTTCACTTTGTTGTTTGGTTATATAATGGATTGTGCCACTGTTTCATGTAGCGCAGCATTTTTTCACTTCACATTATGATTGTATAGTTACATAATGTTATTGTAGTTATATAAGTGTTAGACAAACTATTACTTTAAAAAAAAAAAAAAAAAATTCCATGTAAACTGTTTTTTTTTGCAAGCACATCACATTTCCCATTCAGAGCATAATGCAGGCCATAAATGGGTTGAATTCAGAATGAATTTTCTTTACAAAAAAATCAGAAATTTTGTGCGGTTTGTAATCCGATGGTGCCACCATTGATTTCAAAATTTGACCATCCAAGCCTTCAATTTCACCTCTTGCTACAGAAAAAAAAAAAAAAAACAAAAAAAAAAAAATTTTTGTGGCCAAGAATTTTCTTTTGTTTCCAGCTAACAGCTCACACTCATTCCTTTTTTGATATTTCTCACACAATTCTCCCATCATTGATTGTGGCCCCACTAATCCAAATAAAAAAATTCTTTAAAAAAAATAAAAAAAAGATTTTCAAAAGAAAATTTCAGAATTTGACCCATGTATGGCTGACTTTAGAAATACAAATTACCTCCCCCCGCTATCTTGAAGAGATATTCATGATTGGTGCTTACATATGCTAGAAGACATGCTTACCTTTAACAAAAGAGAATCCTTTAATGTCCTGAGCAAGCTTTAGAGTTTTCCTTTTATAAAATTTGTCACCCGATACCGGATCCAAAAGATCATAAATGCACTCCTTATAAATTTCACAGAATGAAACCCAAACTGAAAACTTTGTTGCCTTATCCACATCCAGGCTGAAGCCTTTTGATTCTCTTAACCGTTCTTCAAACTCAGACAGGACACGGGAGTAGTTGGAGAGTCCTCCGGTGCCTGTGGGGAATGCAAAACAAAAAATCACTCCAAAAGATGTCAAAAGCCTTAGTTTTAGCCAACATGATTCCACTAAAATAGAACAAAAAACCTAAAAATTAGGGAAAAAAAAAAGATTTCCAGCATACAAACTGTACTTGGCCAGTTTAAAGTAGCCACACTATATGGATTGCAGGGCATCAGTTCTCCTCCAGGGATGGAGGGGTGCAACTGTCACCAAGACCGGAAAGAACAGATTGCAAAAAAAAAAAAAAAAAAAAAAAAAAAAAACACACACACACAAGTTCTAACCCTTCACCACTCTTCTAAAAATGGAGAAAGCAGAGGAGGCGAGAGAAAAAGAAAATAAATGACAGAGGGTCCAACCCCCCCAAAGGGCTGTGATATAAAAGTGAGGACAGCGATTTAATTTGTAGTGGGGGAACTGTTGTGATATATAAAGGGAGGAAGGGAGGGTGACTGTGATATGAAGGGTGGACTGTGATGTAAGGGGGAAAGGAGAGCATTATTTGTGCTATAAAAGGAAAGGGCAGTGATGTGAAGGAGACAGATACAAGGGAAAGGGGGTGATGTGAAAGGACTGATGTAGGGGGGGTGGAAACTTTATGTGAAGGGGAGACAAAGGACACTGATGTAAAAAAGTAAAGAGGTTGGGGGGATTTGTGTAGGCAGATGCAATCTGCATTTTCCACTGCAGGTGTTGCTTAATGAGTGGTACCACAGCTGGAGAGGAAGTTTCGGGAAATCCTGGTTTCTCTATGGTTTCCTGGGCCATGGAGCAGCATTCTCGGTTGGCTATGCTGCATCCATGTGACCCCCATTTGGGTCAGCAGGGTCTTTATAAGTCCCTGCCCCTGGGTTTTGGTGAAGTGGATAGAGATGAAGTCTGCCAGGAAAAGGGACTAGCGCCAGGGTAAAGTTGCTGACAAATAGGGACAGGCTAGGGATTTATTTTCTCAAGGAAGCCTCCCCTTTGGAACAAAACCGGCCAGGCTGAACTGAGCGTAGCATTTTTGCAGTTTGTTGTGCGATTTCATGCAGAGTTTTTGAGCTTTGACTTTTTTTTTTTTTTTTATTAGCCAAATAGAGAAAAATATATATCATCTGTTGCATCATTTGTTGCTGAGGTTTTCATCTTTTTATTATTAAATTTCTCTTTTTTTTGTTAGGGTAAGGGGTTAGAGTTAAGGTTAGGGGTTAATATTTTTTTTGTTGTCTATTTATGGGGGTGGGTGTTAACAACAACCATAAATGAATAAATACATGTAAAATAAAATACACTAATATAATCATAAATAAATCATTTATTTTTTTGTGGGGGGGGGGGGGGATAAACGTGCAACAAATCACGCAAATACATGTAAACATGCACAAATCACGCGTTTCCATTTATTTCTATGGAGGTAAAAAGCTCAAAAATGCGCAAACAATGGTTACTTATGTGCCCTGTTCACACTACAACAACGAAGTCCCTGGCTGCCAAGCAGTGCGGTGTGGAAATAACGTATGCATTTTTCCACAAGAGACCGGATTTCATGTGAAGACTCAATGTACTGTCTGTTTTTATGCACCGAAGTTGAGCTGAGGTGCTTAGAAATAAAATTAAATGTATTCTGAATTTTCAAAAAAAAGTCAGGAGGGAGAGGGAAAAGAAAAGAAAAGAAAAAAAAAAAAAAAAAAAAAAAACCACACCACACTTTTGAAATGTACTTTCTCCAGCAAATGAATCTAGATACATTACCGTCATCAGTGAGCACGTCTGTAGTGTCCGCAGAGGTAGCGCTATTGTTGCTCCTAATGCTACACTGAGGATCAGCCTAAAGGGAATATAGTTTAAATGTAAGAAACCAATATAAAAATACAAGACGTCAATGACAATACAAGATTCTTAAAAGCCT